CTGTAATGCACCAGTAATTCCACAAATGCATTGATTGTGCCTCCAGGAATCCGTCACTGGGATTTTGCAGCACATTCCAGTATGGAATAATGATTATTCAATTAAAGCCATTCTGGGCTCAACCTTTGAAGAATTTAAGTTGGTGACATTCTATTGAAGTCACTAGAGCTCCTATGCTCTGTACGCATTGAAGATTTATCCCTTTGTTGTTTTTTTAAACTGCTGCTTCATAAAAAAGTAATTGTCAAGTCAGTAATTGATGCATCACTCAGAGAGGTAATTACTTTCCTGAAACCAAGCAGGAAAGACAGGCTTTTAATTTAAATCATGTAGTGAGTGGGGATATCTATAACCTAATACAGCAAACAGGGTACTTTAAACCAGACAGCGTTCTTTCCTCTTGCAGCTAATAGGAAATATCACTTCAGTTAAGGAGGATGTTTGACTGTTTGCATTGCTGGGAGGCTCAGGATGGGATCAATTTATAAATAGAGTCTGACTTGAATGTTTCTGGGTGAGTTTCCTTTAGACAGGATGTCCAAGCTCCCAACTGGATCTATCCTGCTGCTGCAGTAGTGGCGGCTTCTGCATTTTGGACATGTTTATTGGTTTGGCCAGGTGCAAAAGCTATTGACCTTCATCTAAGCAGCTTGAGTTCTGTTTGACCTTTTTGGAGTAATGTGCATTTCTTTCATGTCCTAGCTTCAGTCCAACCAAAAGCTAACTCCCTAGCAGAGAATAAATCAACACTGCCTTCTGTAACCTTCCAGCTCCATAGTCCCTGGTTCTGTATTACTCAGCTGCACTTAAGGTACAGGTTTGCAATCTTGCTACATTCTCTTTCCACCTGCTCATTAAAGCTTAAATTGTCTTCATGACGATTGAAAAAAGGCAGTGAAGCACTGAAAAGTGGAACTGAAGAGCCACTTCCATCTGCTGAGCTGGGGCAAAACAACAAATCTAGCTCCAGGGAAACCAGAAACTGGAAAGCAACGGAGCTGCACTTAACTGGCACAAGCCAATGAGTTGCCCATGAGATTGCATACCCAAAATACAAAGAATGCTGCTATAGTGCAGCAAGGGCTAAACTTGGACCTCCCAGAAAGAGACCATAGGAGAGAGATGAAAGATAAGGAGCAGATTGTATGAGGATGACCCCAGTATGTTGTTCTTATTCAGCCTCCTCCCCACAGCCTCCGGAGGACAGGTGCTCCTTTCTGTGGATGGGTCATCTTTTATGCCCTGCATGGTAGCGGTGACCCTTCCAGTTGTTTCACCACTCATGTCTCTCACCATCTGCTCTTAGCTCCTTGCCAGTTCCTGCCTGGAGGGCTGCTCCCCATAAATAAGGGATTTACTTGGCATATACAAACAGTTCAACAGTCCTTGGCTAAATGAAATGCTTCCTCCTTTTATAGTCAGGTATCATAAATGATATCAGGGCTGTTCACCCTGATGTGTCAGCTACAATGTGCTGTGCTCCACCAGGGAGATTTGTGAGCTTCCTGGAACAAAAACTGTACAGCAGCTCCAACAGCAGTGCTATTTATTGAGCTATGTAGTATTTCTGAGCAGCCTGCCTGGTGCATTACTGTGGGGTCTGACTCTAAAATATGAGCAGGGCTAAGCCAAGGGAGAACACCCCCCCCCCCCCCCCCCCTGCACACTACCCCCCCCCCCCCCCCCCCCCCCAGACTCCTGTCCGTGAGTAAGAGGGGCTTGCATGGTTTGGCTGTTCCTGGATGCCATCTCAAAAGCAAAATGTTACATAGCACAAGGCTTCCCTTGCTATCTGCACTGTGCACTCAGGCTTCCTCGTACAATTCAGTGGGTTGATTTTAATCCACTAAAACAGGGGTTGGCAACCTTTTAGAGCAGTGGGCTGCTGTCACAGGCTGCCAATCCCTTGCTGGCTCTGTGCCTCTCTCTGCTTACCAGGTGCCACCAAAAACCATGGCAAAATCCAACAGGAAACAGCAAATTTGGCAGCAAGGACACAGAGCAGGAGGCTTCAAGCTGCTGCTTTAATGAAGTCCCTTTAAATTGTTGCTTTAATGAAGCTCCTTTAAACCATTGTCCCCTTCACCTCTTCACCTAATTAGATCTTCATGTGCTGGATCCAAGCTCTTTGTAGGCCTTATCTGACCGAGAGGCCATAGGCTGCCCACCGCTGCTCAGGGGCTACCCTGATGCAGAGACGTCCTGCTTCACATTGCACCATCACGTATCAGGTGCTTTCACCAGCACAAACTGGGAGTTAACATTGGCATAGGTTACTTTTTAAGAAAATCCTAAGGAAAACCTGCTCTTTTCCCTTTGTTTTTGGACTGTTCCATGGAAATTTTTAATTTTCCATCTACCACATGAAAAACAAACCTCTGAGCATTTTCTGTTGAAAATGGATATTTTTCCAGGTTATAGGTTGCTGATAAAAAATAAAAAAACCCACAAACAAACAAAAAAACCCCTCAGAGATATTTTCTGGAAAGTGAGATGCTTTCAATGAAGGTTTTTTGTTTTGCCTGAAATGCAGATTTCCCAAAGAAAAGAAAGTTTTGATGGAAAATTTTCCGGCAGCCCTAGCAAGAGACTGCCTCCCTGCGTGAGGATAAATCCAAGATTGCAAGATGCTCAGAGACCACAGAGGTAATGGGAACCAATAAGTACCCAAGACAGATTGCTACAATCAGTGCCTCATGCTGATTTGTGTTCTTCCCATTAGCCTGATTTGAAGCGATAACGGATGCTTGTTATTCTTCATGAAGCTTCCAGACCCGAGCAATCCATACAACTTGGAAGCAGTTTGAAGAAATAGGATGTACTGTACTGGTGCACAATTTTCAGCCCAGTCTACTGTTTTATCAAGTCTGCCACCTCCTGATGAAAGCCATTCACTACATCTGTGTATATGAGCATGCCTCTGATGAACAGCCTACCTACCAGATTAAAACCGTATTAGGCAATGTCCCACCTTTTAGCAAGCACTAGGCCTGACTCTAACCAGCTCCTCTGACATGTCACAGCCTCCTGAGTTACTCTGGGTTTACATTATTTTCTTTGGATCACATCCTTGACACAATCCAACTCTGCTGTGTTGCTCAGAGCTAAGTCAGGCAGAAAGGTGATCCTGTGGCAGTGTGGGGTTTAACGTGACATAGAAAAATCTCTGGTGTCATAAAAGCAGACTATCTAGCTCTATGCTACATCATTCCAGCCCTCTTGCTCCCTGCCTGGAATAGCTGAAGGTGGTGGGGTGTATCCAGGGCCTGCTCAACTCCAGGGACATCTAGTCACTGCTATTTCCACCTTTCCTAGTGGCGGTTCATCCCAGCAGAACTGAGAGCAGTCTTTGGCTGCTTTAGGATCAAAGCAAGCATAAAGGCAGCCTACAACTGCTGTACTGGGCAAAATGTAGCTGGACATGGTTTCAAGTCCTTTAGTCCGAATGATTTAGTTTACTTGGTACTATTTGGGTGTGTCTACGTAAGACACTTTACTGTACAGAAGGCACTTGTGGGGCAGCTGCTAGTGAGCTTTCTGGTGGGCAGTGATTCCTCACCCAGCAGGGGGCTGGCTGGAAACTGTGCTGCTCCTGGGGCAGCTGCAGGGGAGCCCTGTGTCCAGTGGAGATTCCCTGCCCAGCCAGGGGCTGGCCAGGACCTGTCCTGTTCCTGGGGCAGCTGCCAGTGAGCCTGCAGTTGGGGGCTCACTGGCAGCTGTGTGTCTCAATGTGCACAGGGCCAGGAGACAGCTGCTGCTGCATCTGGCAGAGCTCTCCTTGCCCTGTGTGAATTGGGACTGGCCCCATACCCCCTGCCAACCTCCAAGCTAGCACCCTGGGGGGAGCCTGGAGCCCTTGGCTGCTGCAAGAGGGCAGAAGCAGCCCTGTACTGGGCTGCTCCCATTGAGCGATTTGCTTCCAACCAGATGCAAGTGTAGACATGCTCCTGGGAAGGCTTACTGCACAGTATTTTATTGAACAGAAAACCTATACTGCACTAATAGCACATGTAGATGCACCCTTTATGTCAGTGGTCTCCAACCTTTTTAAGTAGGAGATCACCGTTGGCATTTAAAAGCAACCCAATATGTATTGTGTGGCACCACTCCTCCTCCTTCCCCTCCCTGCCCAGCAGGTAAGTCTGTGGAAAGGGAAAGGGGTGGGGGCAGATCAAGAAAAAATTATTTGGGTACATGCCTCCCTGGCAGATAAGTCTGTGCGGGAAGGGAAGAGTGAGTCTGTAGCCCTAGCCCCACTTCCTCCCTCACCACAGGGGCCTTGAACTAGCACCTGCCCCTCCCCTCCCCCCATGGACTGACCTGCGGCACATATGCATGTACCCAGACCCCACCCAGATTGACTCCAAGAGGCTCCAAGATCTACTGGTAAATCAAGATCCACTGGTTGTAGTTTCCTGCTGTTTTGTAAGAGGGAGATTACTGAATTGAGCCTTATGTCAGGGGGCTTAGCGTGTCCAGGACATGGATGCTGCTTTATAGACAAAGCTAGATGGCTCAAGGCACCGTATTTGGTTAGTTTTGACCTTCCCGCTAAGGTGATGCTTGGTTTTTCGTTCAGAATTGCAGTTGTGCACTTTTTAGTGGGTTTTGTTCAAACTAACAGACAAGGAAATTTAAATCTTTAAATTTAAATTTAAATTAGCATTCTAGCCAGAACTAAAGGTATAGCTTTTAACTGCTGATAAACTGAACAATGCCATCAGCAAACCAAGATTACAACTGGAATAAAAATCAATAATTAATCATACAGAATGAAGTCAGAGTGCAAGAAAGATTCAGATTATTCAACAGATCCTACTGTTTGGCTAATTTTTACAAAGCAGTAACAGGAAACCTAAGGATTAGAGTCTTCTTCTCAGCTTGTACAGGTAGCAGCTGGACCCTTCTTGGTGGCTGTTGGGGTGGGGTATTGATCATTACTGTTCTTTCCCGAGAGACCTGGGTGATTCAATATTATTTATGTCTAACGTAGGGATGTGGCAGTGACAAGCTTTCCACTTTATAGATGGATGTGATGCACTACAGAGATGAGCCCAAATATCAGTAAGCACGTACATTAATGTCTGTCCTCCTGTCCTCACTTCCTTTCTCTCCTTCCTTTTCCTTCTTGATCTCACCAAATGTTATTCCACATTTGGTCAACATACAAAACTTGGAGCTCTTAACTACACTAGTCTAGTTAAAGCAATACAACCCTTCAGTATGGACAGAGCAGGGGTGCTATTACCATAATAGCTAGTCTAGTACAGGAAGGAGAAAACCCCTTTTTGTAACTTTATGCTGTTATCACTGGGTTCAAATATGAGGGCTGGTCCTGATTTTTAACAATGTCACTAGAAAAATCACCCCTCAAACCAGGGTGCAAGCTATGAAGAGCAGGCTTCAGATTCCTAATAGGAAGGGACCCTCTCTGTTTCAGGCCCAGACTCTTGATACATAACAATCATAATATCTTGCTTGGATATAACACTTCAAATAAAAGTGTATTTCAGATGGTCCAAGTGCATAATAGAAGCAGTTCACCACACAGCTCTAAGTGAGGACCCAGCACTGACATGCACCCACTTCTGGAATAATGAGTACACGGGGGGTGGGGAGCCAAGAGACCAGACCATATGCAACTGAAAATTAAGGGAAATGTGGAGTAAACAGAATGGAACTCCCCAAGGAAAATGCAGCCAAGCCTATAAATGGTCTGGTAGAGCGTTTGACTTACTGCCGAGTCCAGCCTGCAGGCTGGGGGAGGAGGGAAGGAAATAGATGGAAAATAACCTGGCAATGCTCATACCAACTGGGAGGAGGGCTGCAAGAGGAGATTTTTGATCAGCTTCTCGTGCAGTGTTGTTTCTCGCTCTACAGCAGCAACCCCAAAGAAAGCCTAGTGCCTTGATTACAACCTGTCCCCCTGATTGAGCGCCTGGCCCACCCCAGTAATTACTGTTAGTCTCCAGTTTTCCCTGATGTTTTCCCTTGGAAGCCCAGTGGGAGTGCAAGCCCCTGGACACCTCTCTCTGCTGAGAAGATTATAAAGATTTTACAGCTGCCTCTTGTTCTTGCTTCAGTGGAGTTCCTCATTAGCTTTGCTGAAAAGAAGCCTGTAAAATAGCTTAAACAAATAGTCCACGGAGAAGCAGTGGCTCTAGATCCTTTAGCCCTGGTGGGAGAGGCCAGCTCCCATGCAGCTCCCCCCCGCCAACTGCTCTCCTGGGTTGAAGTCATCACAGGCAACTCTCCAGGATATGCAGGACTCTTCCCCTCCTCCCCAGCACTTGCTAGGACCCGTGTGGCTGGGGTGTCCAGCTGTGCAACTTCAACTGGGAAAGCAGGGAGGATAGGGCCTCAATGGCGTGCTAGGAGAGAAGCCCTGTGTGAACAGTCTGTATCACCATCACACAAGCCAGTATTGCCTATCACCTTTTCTAAAGGGGCTTATAGCCATCCCTGCCCATAGTATGAAGGTGTCACCTCCAGGAGCTGCAGGCTCCAGCAGGCAGTGCAGTTCCAGGCATTGTCCTGTCCTAGTATGTTCTATAAATGCACTTGAACCGTCCTGGTCACTCTGACATCTTGTGTCCCATGGGAGGGGAGTTTGTGAATGCAGTGGAGAGGTGTGTTAAGGACAGTCTTGGGACTTAGTTTTCTACCTCCATCCTGCTCGAGATTTATATGAAACTGCTTGGAGAAGTGAGCCTAGCACGGTGAGTGGGAGGTGGTGAGATTTATGATGGACTTGAGTTCCTGGAGGAGCTCTCCCTGCTTTCCAGCATGGCCACATCCTAGCTCTGAACCCTGGTATGTACTTACACAGAGACCTGCCTCGATTCGTTCCTCCACTGAAGCAGGGCATCCTGCCAACTGCACCTCTAGTCACCAGGCTACCAGCTGGGGGAGCAGGGAGAGGACTATGGGGGGACCTCTGCCAGGCCCCATCCCCTGTGGGCTCCCCTGCCCACTCCCCCAGCCCACCCCCACCCCCATGGCCGCCCTGCCTGCCCCAGCTCTCGGCCCTTTAAAAAAAAGCCCTTACGTGCTGGCTGCTGTCGGGGTGGGGGGCGGCACACCTGCTGAGTTGGGGCTTTTTTTTTCAAAGAGGCAGGACCTGGGACAGGCAGGGCAGCCATTGCCGGGCTGGGAGAGCGGGCGGGGGGTGGACCTGTGTGATTTGGAGATTCAGCTGATTCAGCAGCAGCCAAACCTCCGAATCAGATTCGAATGAATCAATTCGGGACAGTGATTTGAATCACCGAATTAAATCACTGTCCCCCGAATCGGCTGAATCCGAAGTAAATACTAGCCACTTCGCACAGGCCTACTGAGCAGGCTTCTTACCGGTGGCTGCAGCACAGGGCATTTCTCTGGGCCACACACAGATGCTGTGTGGGGCTGATGCTCATCCCTTTGGGAGCCCTCACTCACCCATGAATGCCTGAGTGAGGGCTTGTTGACAATCACATGCAACAGAGGGAAGAGGAGTATGTCCCACCAAAGCTCAGAGCCAGTCATTAGAGGACCAGTGACTTTGAACAAGAAGCAGCAGGGGAATCCGGTCCAGGGTCCTTGGCTGTGCCCTTAATTAGCAAAGGATGATGTGAAGCACATTGTTTTGAGTGGTCAATAAAGAGCTTTCTCCCCACAGGCCCTTGGGAAGGAGAGCAGTGATCCTTGTCTGGGCCCTGCCTGAGAGCCCTCCAGAGCTGTGAATCATCCCTGCGCAGAACTGGCATCCTTAAAGGTCAGGCAATCACGCTCAACAGCCATGTTTCACCCTTGCCAAACTCCAGCGCCTTTTATCCTGTCTCTCCTGGCTCTGCATTGGTGCCTGCCCATCCTGCCTGCCAGACAAAACCCTATGCATGTGACTTATGACAGGCACCTACAGGTTGTGATACAATCATCTCTAGGAACCTATGGGAATGCAGATCACTTTGGCTTTGATACACTGCACTAAGCTGTGACTAGAGGGGAACTGCTAGCAGGGAAATCACACCTGCAGACTAAATCTATCTCTCTAATCCTGGGTGAGCAAAATTTACTACTTCCACTTGTTCTGGCTCATTTATAATGGGAATCCTACCAACCCTGGTAGACACCTGATGGGCCCAATGGATGTACAGGGCAGAAGTACCCAGCACCTTGGAGATAAAAAAAATCTCAGTTCATGGGATGAACAAAGGATCAGAGAGATCCAGTGGGGAGAGGCAGATAAAGGACATACAGGTGGAACTGGAAGGTTATTGTAAGGAGCGGGGGGGGGGGTGACTGACTCTACTGGGGAGGCACTGTGGGAAATGCCTTATTGCATTCATGGCTATAGTTCACAAAGGGTTCAGCAATTTTCCATGGAAGTGGATAAAACCAAGCGCCCTGGTAGACACTGGCCTTTGCAGAGGGCCTTAAGAACAGGGGGAAGGGATATTGGGGAGGGGAAACCAGTGTCTCTTACCTCAGAAAGGTCAGGTCTTGCCTTCCCTGTTTTGCTGGAGGTCTTCCCTGGTTGCAGTGGGAGGGCCAGGTGAGACTGGGCACCCCTTATACCTTTCACTGACAGGTCTTCTGTCTTCAACAAAAGAGCTTTTCTTCTGCCAGTGTGACAAGTGTTCCACTTACATAAGTTTAAATATCCTAACCAACCTCCTGCCCCGCATCTTGAGTTATAAGGCTGGCCTCTGTGACATCATAACCATGCTATCTGTGTTGTCACCACACGTTTCAATAAACAAAGGGAGGTGAGACATAATTTTGGATGATAAAAAACCAGGAAAAATAGCTTTAAAAATACCAAAGTATACCCTTCCATGGATTTCCTTGCAGAGCAGAACAAAATAATAATTAAAATAAATAACTGCACTTTTTAAATACCTTTGCAGGTCACTGTTAATGGAGAACAGTGAAACTATACCAGAAAGACCAATTAAAGAAATCTACCGAAAGGTCAGTAATAATAGTCAGGCTTCTACTGCACTGACTTGATGCCACTGCATCTTCTTACGTGCAGACTGCCCCTTGTGAACACTGAACACTGGGCAAGACAGGCTTCATATGTCAGTATTTCAGCAGTCACAATGGCATTTGAAACAATAGAGTACTGTGCTATATTTACTTGGCCTAATTTGGTCTGGAAGACTGAGACAGGGTCTGCTCGGTCCAATGGCATTGTATGTGGAGTCTGGTTGAGGTGTTATTCAGATCAGGAACAGAGGTTTGCCTACTGCTGCCATCATTGGAGAGCAAACTTCTTTAATGAATCAGCATTTCCACTGTGGTCTGGCGGAGTGAAAGGATGGTGCATCTTCCGGCATTAGGAAGGATTGCTGTATAATATATAACGCACTTCCCATCCTTCTGCCTCTCTTCTTACACAGGCTCTGGCTAAGGATTCCAGCAGCTCTAAGCCCTTGTAGCAATGCTGCTGGAACATTTATTTACGTGACTCTTGTGAGATTTCCAGGGGACAGGCAGGTTATGTTCTGCTGTTTTGTGCCTGAGCACTGACTGGGATATCTATGGAGACAGCTTACTCAGCTCCTGAATGGGAAGAAACTTAATCTTGCCTTTGGCCTCTGCATCACGGAGATATGCTCCGGGGACCCCCTGAAGAGCTTATGATACATTTACCCACTCTGCTATCTCTCCCTGAAGGTCTCCTCTTGGTGTTTCTCCATTACATCAGCCATGTGGTCTGCATTCAGCTCCCAGGCTTTGGCACACTCCCCATAATTAAAGCACTTTAGGAATAGCCAGTTTGTTTGTTTCTGCAGTCACTGATGATCAGTGGTTTGCTGCAGAAAGTCAAACATTTCAAGGAGGCACTGGCAACCCCTGCTCTCAGTGGAGCATGATTAATGGCTGTTTGGAGAAGAATGAGCCTTTGTTTCTCCTGCCTCTGTGCACGGCACTGGCCACTCTGCAAAGTGACACCCCCATGCACTGGACACCCCCTGTCCAGGCAGCAACAGTGAGAGTATACACCCAGAGACTCGGGCCTCGGTATCGCAGCTTCATCTTTCATTAAACCTTGCATCTAAGTCACAATTGTAACTTCCTGACATCACACTTATTTCCATGACAGCAGCTGGTGATGCTACCAGCACCAAGTGATGACTCCATGCCAGCATAGGGCAGAGAAAAAGCTCTAAGGGAGTCCAGGAAAATACTAGCCCAGGCCAACAAGTGTGGAAGCAGTCTCCTTCTCTAACACTTGCTGCAGGCAGTGTCCTCCTTTGGCTTTAAACTCTTTGACTCTTGTGCCTTCTATCCCTACAGATTGTAAACAGGTTTTAAATGATGAATTTTCAACCTATAGCCCTAAAGAGCTCTCAGAGCCCTGGCCTCCATGGTGTCCAGAACTATAAAATCATGGAATTAGCTTAGTTCTCTCTTGCTTGTGGAGAAGTAAATTATATTCACTGTGCCAGGAGGTAGGGGTCACATGCAGTCTGCAATCTTCAGAGAAGGTTGGAGAGAAGAAGCTTGGGGCAGGGCCAGGTGAAATGGAGAATCTGTCTAGGAGTATTTTCTTTACTGTGGTAAAGATTTAGCTGGAGCCCTCCATGCAGCAGATATCGTCTTATGGAAAAAGAATCTCTCTGAGAATGTTTCCCCATAGTGGTAAGGGCTCAGTTTGGGGTTGATTTTTCTCTATAAAAGCTTTTAGACAGCAACCAGAGGCAGGGCAGCAATGTTAACAACAGTGGTGGCTAAAGCAGCAATAAAAGAGTAGTGCTAGGGACAACTGGACTGCAGCATTAAGTGTGATCAGCCTACAGTCAAGAAAGGAAGGCTGGTAAGTGTTCTCCTGCCCAACAGCAGTTGCTTCTGCTGGGAACAGAAACAGAAACCTCACAAACTGCAAGAACTATGCACTTCTCAGAGCTAGGACAGTGAACACGAGCAGGACGTAATGAAGAGAGGAAGACAGCGACAGTCATTTCGTAGGCCACTCAGAGCTGTAGGAGGAAGGCTGGGTCACCACTATTAACAAGGGCTATTAGTTGCCCCACCCCTTTTGCCTTGGCTTATCATCCAGGTTTTCCCAAATTCATGTCTGTTAACCATGTTTTCCCCTTTCTTCTCATAAGGTGCTGTTTGGTTAATGCTTGGGACTCTTAGCTTGTGAGTGGAGAAGTCTTGCTCATTATGAGCACCCAGCTGGTACAATTTAGATTCACAGGTTTCTGGGTGGGCTTGAGCTGGTATCATGAAAAATTGGTAATAGTAACCTCTATAAAACAAGCCCAGCTCTTTTAACTGCCAAACAGCATCTGGCAGAAGGATTCCACTGTAATGGTTTTGTCTCACAGGCCACTCCAAATACTTGCCATGTATGTATATCACTCCCATAAGTTAAACAGCTATGGCTAATGGAGCCAGTACCCAAGCTGCTCTAAGTCACTCAGCAAGGAAGTATATCTTGGCCTTGTTTGAAGCCTGCAGGGGGGACATCACCATGACAGGCCAGCTTCTCCATCCAGATGGTACCTGCTGTTCCTTAGGTTTCAGATGCCCTTAGTATGCTTTGGGCCCAGGATCCTAACTACCAATCTAGGCCTGTGACCACATTCCCACCCAAGCAAGCCAAGTATCAGCAGGGCTGTGCTGGATCTGATTCTGAGCTCCACTGTCTTGGCTGCATTTGTTTAATACTCAGAGAAATTAGATCAGAGTTTGGATATCAGTAATCAACCCTGCTATTAGTAACTGTCTGTTTCCATTCAGCTACCCAAGCCAGTGCTGGCCCTCAAAGACAACGTAATTCTATCAGAAATACTGGAACCTTAAATATTTTTAAATTAAAAGTACCCTTTAGGTCAGTCTTGGGGCACGGGAAAGTTTGGAGGGTGCTAAAGTGCTTCATTCATTTTCCCATCTCAAAAGACAGGAGAAACTATAAGACGGAAGGAGGAAGCAAGAAAGCTACTTTCATCCCCACAGCCTCTGGCAGTGCTGGCACTGCTTTTGGAAAGTTTAACTGCACTGGCCATTTGACAAGGTGACTGATGCCTTCCTGGGCAAGAAGATGTGTGTTGGATGTGTTTGCACTTGGCCCATTGTACGTTCACAACACAATGGATTATGGAAAAACCACAGCTGCAGTCAGTTAAAGAGAGAATATTTGCATGGGTCTTTTGCTTCATTCGATGGAAAAGTCCCTTCACCTGGCACAAGAGCATGCCTGATAGAATCTCAGAGGTTTCCTTGGCTTAAATGATTCTGCATTTTATCTTAACTCTTGGTCTCCCATGCTTGAGGATTCTGGGGCATGGATCAAATCCCAGAATAACTCACCTAGTTTCTACTAGTTTCTGTCTCTGCAGAGCTTCAGTGGCTACTACTACCCCAGTGAGTGGTAGTAGTGTGATGAAGGTGACATAGGGCATAATGAGGAGGACAGATGGATGATACACACAATGCATAAACACCATGGGCTATTTTAGGCATTCACTGACCAGTGTTTTCTTATGAATTAGCACTTGAGGCCCCCCAAAATGAGCAGTGTGTGCTGGGAGTACAGATCTAGGAGGATCAGCTGTTTCAGCTGCATTTTTGGATGCAGAAGGCCACATTTTTGGAATTGTGTACACCCCAGGCCTCCTCCACAGGGAGACCAGAATGTGAGCTGCTTTGATAGCGGAAGAGCAGATGTGATTGTGTTCTGGACAGCTGCAGTTCCAGATTACTATCAGTTTGGTGCTGGAGAATCCACAGCAGGGGTGCAAGGCCAGAAAACATGGTCTGCTCTGCAGGATTATGATTCTGGGCAACGTACACAAAACATGAAAAGATTTGAAGCAATGAGCTTCCTTCTCTGTGGTGCGGCACATATCCCAGTTATTCCCCTCCTCTCCCCTCCCCTTGCCTTTAAAAGGGGTATGGCTCCTTGAAAGCACTTGTGCATCTCTGGGTACATTTCACTGCCATCAATACCTGCTGCTTAGAAAAAGATGTATGACACACCAGTCTTTAGGGACACAGCGCTTTTCCAAAAGACATAGGCGGGACCATTCTTTCCTGACCAACACATTCCAGTCCATAGATTCATAGATTGTAAGGGGCCGGAAGGGACCGCAGAAGATCATCAAGTCCAGCCCCCTGCACCAGGCAGGAAAGACAACTGGGGTCACGTGACCCCAGCAAGGTGATCATCCAGTCTCCTCTTGAAGATTTCCAGAGTAGGTGATTGCACCACCTCTGGAGGGAGCTTATTCCACAGTCTGGACACCCTGACTGTGAAGAAGTGTTTCCTAATGTTGAGCCTGAAATGGTCTTCCAGGAGTTTGTGGCCACCCAATCAAATCAAATCCATTTCTTGCCCTAGCAGGTCTATGAAGCTTTGGGCCCAGGAAGGCAATGTTTGCCCACCACTCTTGGTCTTTGTCAATTCCTTTAAGCTACCCAGGTTGTTGATCTGTAAAGTTGCTGCTTCTGTCATTATAGCCCCTCTGAGGTAGAGCTCTCTTTCTTTTGCCTTTGGGTTACCAAGACAAGGCTTGTTTGCAGAGACTGTTATCTGGCATTCTCAAAATATGGCCAGGCTAAGTCTACATTAGACCACTGTAAGCAGTCATGCCTTCCCCTTAGAGCTCAGTGCAGCCATCCAGCCACATGGAAGGTATTTAACTTCCTTGGATAGTTGTGTTCCTCTGGCATGCCAGCCCTTACAGGACCAGATTTATTACATTGCTACTAAAGGTTTATAGCTAAAGGGTGTTGCTGACGTTCTTAGATGCCCATATTGGGCTGAGCTGCTGAGAAGCAATACTTGCGTTCCCTGCTTGAGTCCTTATATTGTCATCAGATCCATGAAAGCAATGCCAAGGCAAGTAAAGCCATTAGTAGTACTCAAGACTGGTCTTTCTAGGATGACCTGCAGTTGTGTTAACTTCTGTAATCTTTATTTTTGACATGTTGATTATAACATTGGTCAGCAATTGGTCAATAATTCTAGGGTATCAGCCATTATTTGCTAGTATTTATGAATGTATCCAGGAAGCAGATATCTTCCAGATCCCCAAGCACATTGCTGATCAATGGAATTCTGGTTTCCATGCCAGCAATCTATTACGTAACAAAAGTAATGACGACACCAAACAGCAGAAGGGAGGGGTCCTGTGTTCAGGTCTCTGCTCTTGTCCCTAATAGCTTTTCTGTTCCTTGCAGGCCCAAAGAAAGAAAACTGAGAAGAAAGGCCTCTAAGGATACTGGAACAGAAAGGAAAGCTGCTGTAACTCAGGGTGAGACCAGGCAGGGTGAAATACCGGAAGGACAATGTGATTTTAAATCCCTACCCTGGTCACAAGCAAAATGGAGAACCTGACCATTAAACTAATGGCTGAATTTCACCAGTCCCAGGACCTTCCACAGCCCTGTAGTCTTTGGAACAGCTGGTTTAAAATGACCCAAGAGATAGATACAGTATAAAAATAGAGAGAAAGGGATATAAAAATCATAGTGCTAATTTTAACCCTCTTTCACAAACTAATTCAGGCAGCTAATTAAACCAAAACTTTGATGAGCTTCAAGTCTTTCAATTAATTCCATCAGCTTCATGCAATATTGCTTCAAAAAGCTCTGTGTATTAGTAGGTGAATCACTGCGATTTGACAGATTCCACAAAATCAGGAGAAAGCCCCAGAGCTCTCCTAGATGCAGGCACTATTGCTGAGTACAGCCTTTGGGCATCCGTATGATGGGTTTATGGTAATTGTGGCTGTTGAAGAGATTGACCCATGGATAGAGTCAGGACTTGTCTACCGAGGGAATTCTATCAGCAGAATTACAGTAGTCAAGTTAAATGGTTGTAGTTGTATCAGTGTAACTTCCTATGTGGATGTTCCTATTCACAAATGAGATCACCTTTTAATATAAGTAACCTAAGCTACATGACAAAAAGCCACTCGTACTGGCATAAGAGCATCCACACAGGGAATTATCCTAATATACCTATACTAATATAATTACAGGAGTGCAATTTCCCCATGTAGACAAGCATTTCCTTCTTCAGCATTATCATGACTGCACAGTCATTCTGTACACACATGACAGGTGGCATTATCTGGATGAGCGTGACAGACTTCTTATGAGCGTCATGGTCCTAGGGCTTGCCTCTTCTGAGTAATATCCAAGTGCAGGTGCTCAGCACCTGCTCTGTTGTGCACAGGGCCACAATCTGGATACAGCAGGGACACATACCACTCAGACGTCAAGTTTGTTGGCTCAGGAGAGAGAAACATATATTCACGACAAAACCTGGAACTCTGAAACACCATGGCTCCATCATCTACAAATGCATCAGTAGCAGACTTTGAATTCCACAACTGCAGATCTTCAGCACAGACTTCAGTGCAGCATATGACTGCATATGCTTTAGGAAGCTGCTCCAGTGCCCAGAACCTGAATTTCCAGGGAGTGACCTAAGAACTATCAGCACCAGACAACGTTATTTTGCTTAGGATCTGCTTTAAGTGTTATTCACCCAGATGCATTTTGTAAATCTCCCAGCTTCAAGGCTTAAGTGCCCTTTGTCCCTTACCCTTGATGTGTCTGTTCAAGTGTTTCTATTTTGGCCCTAATTATTTTCATCTTTCCCACAGGCCTGTTTTCAAAACACAGAGACTTGGACATTCACTTTGTTTATCCCCCTGAAAGTAAAGATGCTTAGTAGATGCTTGAGGAAAAGGACTTCTAGTTACAGGAATAAAAATACTCACTGGGCACATCTACATGAGAGGTTTCCTGCATAGTTGACTAATTAGCTGCACAGTAAACATCTTGGTGTCTAAATGCACAAATGGGAAATATGTAAATGGTGCTTAGTAGGGCTGTGCAAAATGGCAGCATTTCATTTTGACCAGTGTTTCAACACTTCGACGGAACAGCATTTCATTTCAAATTTTGTTTCGATTCCTGGCTCATTAACTCGTTATCTTCACTAGCTACTGTGTTATGCAATTAATCATAAACTGTGGAGTTTATTGCTCCAGGTGGCTGGGGCATGAGGGTGCTTCAGTGTGGGGGCTGCCTGCCAGCTAGCCCTAGGCTGAAGTTTCCTCATGCCCCAGCCAGCCCCTCCACAGCATGTTGAGCTATGAGAAGCAGCCCTGGGATGGCAGGCTGACCCCTGGCCCCCACTGCCAGCTGGGCTGCTCCACCTGGGCTCCTTGTGCTCTGCCTAAATAAACTGCATGCCTGGGAGCAATTAACTCTGGAGCAATAAACTCCACAGTTAAGTGGAAGCATGAGGTGGAAGAGGCCGATCCTGTTTCCTGCTCTAAGAGCCTTCCATGGGTGAAGGGGAAAAAACTGAAAATGAATGAGAATCTCCTGGGGAGCTTTCCAGTGAGAGTGTTGGTTTGTTGAATGGGCATCTTACAATAAGTATCTTTATTGTGATTGGCACCTCTGCATGATGAATTCAGGGGATTCAGAAATGAGATGAGTGGTGGGGACCTCCCACTTTGGCTGTACCACACATGTGCAATGAGCTCTGAGCTCACTGTTTGGTCAGTGTGGGCATGAGCAGGGTGGGGTTTGTCCAAAGACCCTGCTTTCACTTGCCTCTGGATCCCAGGAGGTGAACACTG